TCAAGACCAGCCTAGCCAACATGGTGAAATTCCATCTTTACTAAAAATACAAAAATTATCTGGGTGTGGTGGCAGGCACCTGTAGTCCCAGCTACTCGGGACACTGAGGCAGGAGAATCACCTGAACCTGGGAGCCAGAGGTTGTAAGTGAGCCCTGATAGTGCCACTGCACTCCAGCCTGCGCAACAGAGTAAGATTCGTTCTCAAAACAAACAACAAAACCCAAAAGTCCGGGCACAGTGGCTCATGCCTGTAATCCCAGCACTTCGGGAGGCTGAGGCAGGCGGATCACCAGAGGTCAGGAGTTGGAGACCAGCCTGGCCAACAAGGTGAAACCCCGCCTTTACTAAAAATAGAAAAATCAGCCAGGTGTGGTGGTAGGCACCTGTAATCTCAGCTACTCTGGAGGCTAAGACAGCAGAATCACTTGAACCCAGGAGGAAGAGGTTGTAGTAAGCAGAGACAGTACCACTGGACACCAGCCTGGGTGACAAGAGTGAAACTCCGTCTCAAAAAAAAAAAGTGAAAAGTTTTGCTTGCTAGAAAGGCTCTTCCTTTGGACTGTAAAATCCCTTACATATCTACCTAACAACTTGACATGATAAAAGTGAATTCCATATAGCAATAACTACCTGGGAAAGGAGTTTTATGGCATCATCTCTTTTTCTGTTCCCAAAGAAAAGTTTAATTCAAGAAATGTAAAATATATATATATATCCCAATGATACAATATTCCACTACGGATACGCTTAATTTCTACAAAGTTAGAGATGAAGAATTATAATCTCAACACATGAATTGGGAACGAGACAAATCTCTGAAATTAGGCTCACCGGAATATATGCATGCTGAATATATACTTCCCAATATACACCAAACCTTTCTAGCAGTCACAAAACAAATAAATAAATAAGCCAGGTACTGTGGCTCACGCTTGTAATCCCAGCACTTTGTGATGCCAAGGTGGGAGGATTGCTTAAGGTCAGGAATTCAAGACTAGCACGGGCAACATAGCAAGACCCCGTCTCTAAGAAAAAAAAAAAAAAAAATCTGAAAATTAGCCTGGCATGGTGGCATATGACTGTAGTCCCAGCTACTCAGGAGGATGGAATGGAAGATTGCTTGAGCCCAAGAATTTGAGGCTACAGTGAGTTATAATCACACCACTGAACTTCACCCTGGGCAGAGCAAGATCCTGTCTATGAAAATAAAAATAAAAGGCCGGGCACGGTGGCTCACGCCTGTAATCCCAGCACTTCGGGAGGCCAAGGCGGGCAGATCACAAGGTCAGGAGATCAAGACCATCCTGCTTAACATGGTGAAACCCCGTCTCCACTAAAAGTACAAAAAATTAGCCGGGCGCAATAGTCCTGGCTACTCAGGAGGCTGAGGCAGGAGAATGGCGTGAACCCGGGAGGCAGAGCTTGCAGTGAGCAGAGATCGCGCCACTGCACTCCAGCCTGGGCAACAGAGCCAGACTCTGCCTCAGAAAATAAATAAATAAATAAATATAAAAATAAAAATAAATAAATAAAAATAAAAAACAGGCCATGGCCAGGTACAGTGGCTCACGTCTGTAACCCCAGCACTTTGGGAGGCCAAGGCGGGTGGATCACGAGGTCAGGAGATCAAGATCTTCCTGGCCAACATGGTAAAACTCCATTCTCTACTAAAAATACAAAAATTAGCTGGGCGTGGTGGCCTGTAACTACAGTCCCAGTTACTTCGGAGGCTGAGGCAGGAGGATCACTTGAACCCGGGAGGCGGAGGTTGCGGTGAGCTCAGACCACGCTGCTGCACTCCAAGCCTGGGCGATACAGTAAGACTTGATCTCAATAAAAATAAATAGTAAGTCTTTTCTCAAAAAGAGTAAGGATCACTAGAAAATGTATTGAAGAACCATTCGTTTTCTCCTGAATTCAATCTAAAATGCAGAGCCAAATAAAACCACCATAAATTCCTTTAGTAATCTTCTAGGCCTTTCAGTTCAGCAAATTTCACATACTACATACAATTCTGTGGCTTTCCTCATTGCCCACTCTTCAAACACAAATTCAAATTTTTATTAATACTGTGAGACTATTAATAAAGCTCTCTTTGGCTAAGAGAAACAAAAATTGAATTCTTAAACTCCAATAGGGAAACCTTAAGAGGAAAACATGGCTTAAAGGATCCAAGTGTTCGTATACAGATATAAGCTAATCCTTTCAAATCATGTCTAAAATTTCTTTCAACAACATCTCACACATTCCTCCCAAAACACGTAACTTTATCAGCATCCAGTATTCTACCTGTCTTCAATCAATCCCAATAACCCTTCAAAGCTACCAAAGTGTTAATTTATAAAACAAAAGAGAATAATTCATAGTTCCACTCCCCAGCTCAAAGTTACAAATCAAATCTTAAAAAATGTATTCAACTATCCTTCCTCAAACAGCTCTGCCCCCAAAATTTATATTCTAATCTAACTTAATCAGGTGTATTACAATGTCAGTATTGTAAAATTAGGAATCTTTGTCACATTGTAATCCACAAAATCCTTGGGTATACAATGGTTTCTATAAAAGCTAAAGGCTACATAGAACTCCATTTTCAAACAGGATAAATATATAAAACATAAAATATTTCTGGCCAAAAGCCAAATTCGATATTAATACACCTTTCCCCCTCCTCTGGTGCACAGAAAAGTCACCTGAAAAGTTTTAATCACAGATTCACAGTATATTCACAAATGGAAACAAAACAGTTATCCTACTTCAAAACTGGAGGGTGTGGTGGGGGGAGAAAATACTAACCAATCTCTGGCTGTAACGAATCCTTTCTTCTTCGGGTTCCATCTCTCACTCTTCTGTTGAAATTACTGTAAAGAAACCACTCCAGGGCTGCCTTCCTCTTCCTCCTTAGGAACCAGATTGCAACACTAAAGAATAATGATACAAGCATAAATGAGAACTCATTCTCAAACTTGTGCTTTCTGTTCACGGAAAGGAGTATTTAAGGTAACTGTTAAAGGTTCTCTGAAAAATCAGGTTCCTTTTCATGAGTTTGGGACCTTTCTGCTTTTGGGCAAGTGGTTCCATGTCATGTTCAACATTAATCACATTACAACTGTCGGAGGCCTAGACGGAACGAGATGTTGGTTTCAGTTCCTTGAGGATGGGCCACACCACTAGTTTCTCCCCACAGGATTACCACTAGCAAGGATCCCCTTCGTGACAGCATCAGCAAAAAAAAAAAGCTCAGGACTTTTATCTCTAGAGAGCTGACCAGGTGAAACACCACTGAACTAATCCCAATCCTAACCAAATTAGTTCTCTCTCACCAGTAATCAGAAACTAAAGGCAAGAAGGGCAGACTATGTAAAAAGAGGACAAGAAATTAGGATTTAAATGACCCCAAAACAATTTCCCATACCCCTCCTGTAAGGCCGTGCACAATCGTCGCCTTCCTTTCCAGACTCCCCGGGTCTTTTCATTCTCAAATCTACCCTCCACCTCAACACAAGATGTGCACAACTCTGAAACAAATTTCAGAGGCGCAAATCAAGGACCAAAATTCCATCTGATCTTTTTGGATAAAGTAATAAACGATCGCATCTATGGATACGAGGAAAATACATCTTGTCCAAAAATGCAATAAAAGACCGGCCGGCGCGACGGTCAATCGGCAATACCAAGAAAGGGTTTCCTTTTTTCTAAATATTCTCGTGGATAATGGCTTCCATTGAGAACGCAGGTTCCCCCCGTTTTTGTCACTACATTACAGCCACGTTAACAGCATCCTTTCAAAACTGCTACGAGACCAGAGGACCCAATGACACAGTTTGCGAGAGCAGTTGGTGGCAGAGCCCTCCCGGAGGAAGCCCTGGCCCGAAGTCCGGAGGGAAACCGTGCTTGCACCCCCTGGGCGACGACCACCCGGGCTTGGAGCAGCCAGGGCCGGAGAGGAAAAAGGGCGAATGTCGCTGGGCACCCCCAGGAAAAGGCGTTTCAATGGTTCACCCATCGGAAAAAGAAATAGAAACTTTGCATTCAGTCTTTGGATAACACAGTCAACCAAACTTCCAAATGAGGGGGGGAGGGGGAAACTCACCGGAGATTCTGCTCTTGAGTTCTTGTCCAAGTGAGAAGTAAAAGATTCCAAAGCTGAGAGGAATAATTAAATCCCAAACGTCGTCTTCGGTTTTTCCGTGGATCAACCCAGTATCCAGAGAGGGTCAGAGCGACCAGGAAAAGGGAGCAAACAGTTGCTGAATCAAACCTTCTCTTCTGGCTTTGGAGACCGGGAGTCGGAGGCGTCAGGAGAGGGGAGCGCGACCCCTCGGCGCCGAGCCCGGGGCGCCCCCGCCTCCCCCGGGCCAGCGGTCAGCAGCCCGGGCCCGAGCCCCGGGCCGGCCCCGGCCGCAGGGAGCGCCCTCCTCGCCGTGCCCTCGGCCAGCAGGGGCTGGTCGCCTCCGGGAGCAGCGGCCGATCAGCTGAGACCGGCCGGCCCGAGGCTCTCCGCGCCGCCCCGGCCCCCCGGAACGCGGGCCCCGGCCCCGGGGGGCGGACAGGGCGGGAGCGGCGCGGCACGCCGGGTTGGGGGCCCTGGTTCCCCTCGCGTCTCCCCCTCAGCTCCGGCTCCGCGCTGCGGGACGAGCCCCCTGGCTACTCCCCAGTCGCAGAGGAGGGATTCCGGGGGATGGGCCCCCTGGCGTTGCCCCTCCTCCCGGAGCGCCCCCTGCCCAGGAAAGACAGAGCGGCGACAGGCCCAGCCGCTGGGAAGGTGCTCCGCGAGCCGCCGCCGCCGCTGCCGGGGAGGGGTGTTGTTTCCCTCACACAGGAGGAGCCGCTGAAGCAGCCGCCGCCATTTTGAACCCGTCAGACTCTCACATACACACAGCTCCTCCGAGGCGCACTGCGCAGGCGCCACCTCCCCACCCCTCCTCCAGCTCGCCTCTCCACCCCCCACCCCCTTCAGGCCTCCCTGCGCTTCTTACCGCTCTCCCGGGCGCGCGTGAACGCGCACGCGTCACTCCCCTCTAACGCGGACACACCGCCGGCGCGCGCACGCGCGGATGCGTCGGCCTCGAATCGCCCGCGCCCCGCGACGCCGACGCGGCTCCCTGCGCCCCCTCGCGTCAGGCCGCCTGCCCGCCCTCCCGCCGGCCCGCCGGCCCGCCGCCCCCGCTCCCCGTCGGCGTTCTTCCAGGGCTCGGGCCCGGCCGGCTGCTCGCGCCTGCGCGAAGGGCACCGATCCTCCTCCGCGCGCCCTCCCCCCACGCACCCTCACACACACTTCGCCTCTGTGACCCCGCCCCTCGCGGCCAGCTGCGCCGGTCGCCCTCCCCCACCCCCCTTGGGAGGGTGGTGACCCCCCCCGACCCCCTACAAAGCATATCAACCCCCCCAAGCAGTGAGAGACATGCGCCCCCTTCCCCTTCAACCGCCCTCGGCCCCAGGCGGCCCGTCACAGTCACACAACCTGAGGGCCGGGAGGCCTGGGCCAGGGCAAACCGATGCCCGCCTCAAAGCAGGGTCTCCCGGGGTCAGGCCGCCGGGCTGGGCCTGCGCGACCTGGGTTCCCGGCTCAGGCCTGCCCAGGGCGAGAGGGCGCAGGGAAGGGGTGCATGGCCGCCGGCTGCCTTCCCTTCGCGTGCCGGCCGGTGGGCCGAGGCCAGCCTGCCCGCCATCCCTAGGCAGGCCCCGGCGCCGCCGCCACGGGGCCCGTCCGCCCTGGGCCCGGGGGCTCCTCGGTGCAGCGGCCTGGCCCCGCCTCACCCACTGCTCGTCGCTCCGAAGGGGCAGGAAACAGGAGTAGCATGTCTGTCCTGGGCTCGGCTCCCCGGGGGAGCTGCAGGCGCTTAACAAGGGCGTCCACAGGTACCAGGCGCAGGAACGGTCTCCGCGACGGCCCGGGGGCGGCGGCGGCCGGCGCGCCCACCGCCGGCCGGAGGCGCCTGGCGAGGTGGCCCAGGAAGCCCCCGCTCCTCGGCCACGCTCAGCTTTCCGCCGCGCCGGTGCCCCCGGCGGCCCGGGTGGGACGTGACCCCGCCCCCGGCGAGTCGGGGCGCCCCCCACGGAGGGGTGCGCGGGCCGCCCCCGGTGCCCGGCCCGACCCTGCCGCCCCGGGCCGTGGCGGGCGCGGGAGGCCCAACTGGGAAGATGTCTCCTCTTGGTGCGCGCAGCTTCGCGCGGGGGTCAGCGACGGGGCAGCGGCCGCCCGAGCTGCGCCGGCCCTGCCCACGGACCGGCTCCCGCAGCCCGACAGCTGCCCGACGGGCCAGCAGGCTCCGAACGTCGACGGAGCCCGGCCGGAGGTACCCGAGCAATGCCATGCGAGCAGCCCAGCCGCGATCCGGGCATTTCCCCAGCCAATCTCTTGCTCTGGGGCCCGTTTAAATTCTAAATCCCACAAAGGATGGTGGCTGGGGCGTTACACATCGGGGTTGGCGCTACTGGCTCCACTACGCCCTTGTTGAGCGGTGTCACACAAATCTTTTTCTCCCTGCCTTGGTTTCCCACTCTTCAGGTTCTGACTCCTGGAAGCAGGGAATGGAGCAGAGAGGCAGGGCATGGAGCGAATCATATAACCTGCATAAACAGCCATCAACCCTTTCAGGAGGACGTTAGCGAGACAATTAAAATAATGATACCTTCTAATTCTATCAAGGCTTGAACTCCAAGGTAAAAGCGCTACGTCAGTGCAAGGTATTATTATTTATTACCACAGAAGGTTTTTCTGCATGCAGAACTTGGGGAGTTTGTACAGACATTCTCTGCTTTGTTTCACAACATCCTTAGGAGACAAGCTGAAGTGCCTGTTAGCGCTATATCCATTTTAAAGATAGACAACTGAAGTATAGAAAGGTTAAAGAGCTTGCATAATTACTCCAACAGCCGACTGAAACATCTCACAAACAGCTAAAAAGGTTTGTTAATAAGATATCATCCTCTTGCATCCTAGTCACTGGGAAATATTCTTTATTTTGATACCAGTTTTGTTCAGACTTCTTAGATTTTCAGAGCACTGATACAAAATAGATAATCACAGAAACTGTATCAGATCTAAAGTCTCTTTAAATCTTTCCGACTGTGGTAAAATATATTTTAAAAGCAGCAGTCTCTCACACTGATACTACCAGATATGGTCCCATAGGCATCTGGCTCTCTGTAGGTATAGGAAAAGTTAGCAGCTTTGTTTCATTTGTTTTTTAAGCAGGAGAGAAAGCTTTTGCCATTGTCAGATTAAGTGTTGGGCCTTGTTGCTATTTGCAAAATAAACAGCTTTATTTCCTTCCTACTCACCCTTATAACCCAGGGAATACTTGGCGGAAAAGAGAAAGTGTCTAGGAGTAGCTCAACTTGGTCTTGCCCTTTTTCTTAACATTCAGACCCCCTTAAGTAATTAACCCTCAAGGTGAGTTGCACACCCTTGGCGAACAGATACCTCCAAGTTTAACTCATGTGGGCATGCTGGAAGGAAACCTAGAAAGGCTTTAGACCAGGCTGGGCGCAGTGGCTTACACCTGTAATCCCAGCACTTTGGGAGGCCAAGGCAGGTGGATCACCTGAGGTCAGGCGTTCAAGACCAGCCTGGACAACATGGCAAAACCCCGGCTCTACTAAAAAAAAAAATACAAAATTAGCTCATGGTGGTGCATGCCTATAATCCCAGTTACTTGGGAGGCTGAGGCAGGAGAATCACTTGAATGCAGGAGGTGGAGGTTGCAGTGAGCCGAGATGGCGCCAATGCACCCAGTTTGGGCTACAAAGCGAGACTCCACCCCCTCGCCCCCCCTCAAAAAAAGGCTCTAGAACAGTAATAGTAGTACTTATTTTGAATGGGACTACAAGTAGAGCAAGATTTGTCAGATTGGAGCCAGCTCTTTTCCAGTAGAAAACCATTTGTTAACTAGTCTGCGTTGGGGGAATGGGACATTTAAGCAGATATGCACAATGGTTTCTCCACAGGCAGGCTTTGTTAATATTCCAGAGCAGATATGCAGAGTGAGATAAGAGATAGACAGATGGCTGGTGATTCCTCCCACCATCACAGTGGCTCTGATTGGCAAAGACAGATCTGTGAGGCTCACTGCATTGGTCTAAAACAGCCATTTGCAGGGAGAATAGAGCTTGGGGGATTCCCCAAGAAGGCCACCAGAACTATGAACTCTATGGCTTCAACCCTGACAATGGTATATGGGAAAAAGGAAATAAAAATGCATTCTAGAGGCACTGAGAACAGTGTCCCTGGTTGGAATAAATTGGTACCTTAATAAGATATTAATAAATCCCTGCCTTTTTGAGCAAAGCTAAGACCCAACAAATGCTGAGAGTCAAAATCCAGTCACCCTTTTCTTTTCTCTTATTTTCTTTTCTTTTCTTTTTTTTGGGGGGATGGAGTTTTGCTCTTGTTGCCCAGGTTGGAGTGCAGTGGTTCAATCTCGGCTCACTGCAACCTTCACCTCCTGGGTTCAAGCAATTCTCCCACCTCAACCTCCAAGTAGCTAGGATTACAGGTGTCCGCCACCACGCCCGGCTCACCCATTTCTTTTGGGAGACTTTACGGTGCAAAAAGAGAACTCTTTAGTCTGGTTAAGCTAAACTATTTCCAATTTCTCCTTAAATGTTAAGGAGGAGGCCGGGCGTGGTGGCTCAACCCTGTAATCCCAGCACTTTGGGAGGCCGAGACGGGCGGATCACAAGGTCAGGAGATCGAGACCATCTTGGCTAACACGGTGAAACCCCATCTCTACTAAAAAATACAAAAAACTAGCCGGGCAAGGTGGTGGGCGCCTGTAGTCCCAGCTACTCGGGAGGCTGAGGCAGGAGAATGGTGTAAACCCGGGAGGCGGAGCTTGCAGTGAGCTGAGATCCGGCCACTGCACTCCAGCCTGGGCGACAGAGCGAGACTCCGTCTCAAAAAAAATAAAATAAAATAAAATAAAATAAAATAAATAAATAAATGTTAAGGAGGAAGTAAAGATGTCCCAAACAGTGTAGGTCTAAACTAAAATAAAGAAGTTGGTTGTGAAGATTCCCCAGGAGGTAGCGTAACCAGTGGTTAAAAAGCTTTGGCTGGGTGCCGTGGCTCACGCCTGTAATCCCAACACTTTGGGAGGCCAAGGCAAGTGGATCATGAGGTCAAAAGTTTGAGACCAGCCTGGCCAACGTGGTGAAACCCCGTCTCTACTACAAATACAAAAAATAGCTGGGTGTGGTGGTACGTGCCTGTAATCCCAGCTACTCGAGAGGCTGAGGCAGGAAGAACCGTTTGAACCTGGGAGGCCGAGGTTGCAGGGAGCCGAGATCACGCCATTGTACTCTAGCCTGGGCAACAGGGGGAGACTCTGTCTCAAAACAAAACAAAACAAAACAAAACAAAAACAAAGAGGCTGAGGTGGAGGATTGCTAGAGTCTAAGAGCTGGAGGTTACAATGAACTATGACTATGCCACTGCACTTCAGCCTGAGTGACAGTGAGACCCTATCTCTAAAAAAAAAAAAAAAGGGAAGGTTTTAAGTAAAGATGATTCAATATTTAAGAAACTTGAAGTTTTCATGTGAGTCAAGAGTTTGCATAGACCTTAAGTGTGATGACTTATTCCTCGATTCTCTTCCCCCTCCCTTTTTTTAGTTTTTTAAATTTTTTTATTTTTAGACAGTCTCACTGTGTCACCCAGCCTGGAGTGCAATGGCATGATCTTGGCTCGCTGCAACATCCATCTCCCGGGTTCAAGCAATTCTCCTGCCTCAGCTTCCTGAGAAGTTGGGATTACAAGCACCCACCACCATGCCTGGCTAATTTTTGTGTTTTTAGTAGAGACAGGGTTTCACCATGTTGGCCAGGCTGGTCTCAAACTCCCTATCTCAGGTGATCTGCGCCCCTCAGCCTCCCAAAGTGCTGGGATTACAGGCAGGAGCCACCGCACCAGGCCCTCTTCCCTATCCTAACTCCTGGTTTCTCTCCCCAACCCCCAACCCTGGTGTCTCCACTTTTTATTTTTCCCTCTTCTGTGACTCCAGCTGCCTCTTTCTCATCATCACCTACCTCCTGAAGTCTCTTTCTCTCCAGCCTTCTTTCTGTCATTTGGCCCACCCCCTCCTCCATGTTCATTCTCTCTCTCCTGGTCCAGTATCATCTGACTGAATGGCTTGCCCACTTTCCTTTAGAATCCATTCGGTGCCCTTAATCACCTCAATCCCATGCTTTCTGATTGTGTTACTTAACCATTTCCTGAACATCTCCCTCCACCCGCCCCCAACCCCGGGAAAAAAAGAAAAAAAGAAAAAAAACTCCTAGGGTTAAAATGGTGTTGGGGGGTGGTGATAGAAAGTCTTCTTTTTTTCTTTTTTCTTTTTCTTTTTTTTTTTTTTTTTTTTTTTGAGACGGAGTCTCACTCTGTTGCCCAGGCTGGAGTGCAGTAGTGCGATCTCGGCTCACTGCAAGCTCCACCTCCAGGGTTCACGCCATTCTCCTGTCTCAGCCTCCCGAGTAGCTGGGACTACAGGCGCCCGCCACCGCGCCTAGCTAATTTTTTTGTATTTTTAGTAGAGATGGGGTTTTACCATGTTAGGCAGGATGGTCTCCTCAATTTCCTGACTTCGTGATCCACCCACCTCGGCCTCCCAAAGTGCTGGGATTACAGGCGTGAGCCGTCACGCCTGGCCAAAAGTTTTCTTTTAAGTTTGGACGTTGAATCTGAATTGATCAGGGAAGAAAAATGGAAGGCAGAAATGCCCTGCAGATTCTTGGATCACCAGACATGGGTGTCGCATGAGGTTCTTGCATGGAACGTGGCTGACCCTTTCCTTGGGACCATGGGACCACCACCCTCCCTGGCCCCGTGCTTCCTTGCTGCCAGCTTTTCTAGGTATGTGACCTTCCGTATGTGACTGCTCCTGAGTGCTGGGGTGAACTTTGGCTGTTGGGGCAACTGCAGCAGTGTCTGAGACCCACCTGTTCTTCAGCAGCCTTAGCTTTGCTCTGGGGCCAGGCCACCCTCACTTCTCACTTCTAAAAGGGTGGGACTTCCTGCTATGCCTAGGAGTGGAGCTCAAAGATGCAGAGCCTGTGTCTCAGCTACACCTGCTTGCTGGGGGCAGTTTCTGGCACCCTGGGGTTTCAGGGTCTGTTTGCAACCTTGCACTAGCTTCCCAGCTTGGGTTGGTGGTGACAGTCATGCGGGGCTCCAGCCATTTCCCCAAAGGACCAAGTGCTTAAGCACTTAGGCCTCTTTAGCCCCTCCCAGTGAGACTGATCGTTGTTTATCTTCTTCAAGGGCATTCACTACCTTTCGTCAGTTTCTGCTAAAGCTGGTGTTCCTTCAGCCACTTTGTGAGAGGTTCTGAGCCCGTCAGAACTTCAGTTCTCTTTAATAAAACAGAGTAGGCCGGACACGGTGGTTTACACCTGTAATCCCAGCACTTTGGGAGACCAAGGCAGGCGGATCATCTGAGGTCAGGAGTTCAAGACCAGCCTGGGCAACATTGTGAAACCCCATCTCTACTAAAAATACAAAAATTAGCTGGGTGCGGTGGCACATGCCTGTATTCCCAGCTACTCGGGAGGCTGAGGCAGGAGAATCGCTTGAGCCTGGGAGGTGGGTGGAGGTTGCAGTGAGCCAAGACCATGCCACTGCACTCTAGCCTGGGCAACAGAGCAAGACTCTGTCTCAAAAAAAAAACCTATATATATATATGTATTTAAATATATGTAATATATAAAACATATATATTTAAAACATATGTATAACATATATATAAATAAAACAGAAGTAGTGACTCCTGCCCTGTTTTCTCCTAGGATTGTTGTGGAGTGAAATGGACTAATGGACATGAATACCCTTTGGAAACTAGAAGACAACTTATTTTAGAAAGGATTTCTGAGGCCTTGCGCAGCGACTCATGCCTGTAATCCTAGCACTTTGGGAGACCAAGGTGGGCAGATCACCTGAAGTCAGGAGTTCGAGACCAGCCTGATCAAAATGGAGAAACCCCGTCTCTACTAAAAATACAAAATTAGCTGGGCATGGTGGCTCATGCCTGTAATCCCAGCTACTTGGGAGGCTGAGGCAGGAGAATCGCTTGAACCCGGGAGGCAGAGGTTGCAGTGACCCAAGATTGCACTATTGCATTCCAGCCTGGACAACAAGAGTGAAACTTCCATTTCAAAAAAAAAAAAAAGAAGAAGAAAAGGATTTCTGATTTTCCTATTTTTAAAAATATTTTTACTTGTTAAATTTTTTTCATAGAAACAGGGTCTCACTACGTTGCCCGGCTGGTCTCGAACTCCTGGCCTCATGTAATGCTCCTGCTTTGACTTCCCAAAGTGCCTGGGATTACAGGCATGAGCCACTGCACCCAGCCAGTTCTCCTATTTTTAAATTTATTTTTATTTTATTGTGGTAAGAACACTTGATGTGAGATTTACTGTTTTAACAAAGTTTTAAGTGTACAATACATTTTCCATTTTCTTTTTCTCCTACATGTAGGATTTGGGTACTTACTGAGTACACTGTGCCCAATGCTAAATTAAGTGCTTGGATAGAGAAAGGAGGTTTGAAAAATTAGAAGCCTTGGCTTTTACCTTCGAAGACTTCATATTGAAGAAAGGACACCATAAAGATGTGACATACTCAGAGAATAATCATCATTCCAGTGAATTGCTGAAAGATAATTTAGACCATAAGAACTGGTCTTCAAATTGAAATTGGATATAAGCCCCGTGGGGCAGGAAGTTTTGTTCATTGCTGGATTCCCCAGTGCCTAGAACAGTGCCAGGCATAGTTGGCACTCATTCCTTCATATTTATTGAATTGGCCAATAAAGTAGTGCAGTGTTGCTTTTGAGGGAAGGAGTATGAAGGCTGGAGAGCATTGAGTCCTGCAGAGAAGCTTGGATTTGTGAGAGTAAGAGAGGCACATATGTTCTGGGGCAGAGAAGGTTGATGCAATAGTAATTGTTCCAGAGAAACTGTTCCTGCAGCTGTCATTGCAGCTGGAATAGAAGTGATAGAAACCAAATCCTGTACTACTGCAAACCAAGCCAGGAGGTATGTGAATCTTAGGCCAAGTTCTTCACTCTGTTTTTATTCCAGCTCCTCTTGTGATTTTGTCTTTGAGCTCCACTTACCTCTACTGTCTCCAGTTCAGGATGTCGACTTTAGTTCCATGTTAGAGTGCAACTTTTTTGTTTGTTTGTTTTGTTTTTAGACAAGGCCTCGCTCTGGCACCCAGGCTGGAGTGCAGTGGTGCACTCTCAGCTCACTACACTCTCCACCTCCTAGGCTCAGATGATCAGTCTTCCCACCTCAGCCTCCTGAATAGCTGGGACCACAGGCACATGCCACCACACTTGGCTAGTTTTTGTATTTGGATTTTTAGTAGAGATGGGTCATTGCCCTGTTGCCCTGGCTGGTCTCCAAATCCTGGTCTCAAGCAATTGGCCTGCCTCCCAAAGTGCTGGGATTACAGGCACGAGCCTCTGCACCTGGCCAGGAGGTTATCTTTATTTTATTTTATTTTATTTTATTTTATTTTATTTTATTTTTTATTTTATTTATTTTTTTATTTATTTTGAGACAGAGTCTCGTTCTGTTACTCAGGCTGGAGTGCATTGGCGTGATCTCGGCTCACTACAGCCTCCGCCTCCCGGGTTCAAGCGATTGTCCTGCCTCAGCCTCCTGAGTAGCTAGGATTACAGGTGCCTGCCACCACGCCCAGCTAATTTTTTGTATTTTTAATAGAGACAGGGTGTCTCCATGTTGGTCAGGCTGGTCTTGAACTCCTGACCTCAGGTGATCCACCCACCTCAGTCTGCCAAAATCTTGGGATTACAGGCATGAACCACCACGCCCAGCCTTTTTTTTTTTTTTTTGAGATGGAGTCTTGCTCTGTTGCCCAGGCTGGAGTGCAGTGGCGTGATCCAGCTCACTGCAATCTCTGCCTCCCAGGTTCAAGCGATTCTCCTGCCTCAGCCTCCCGAGTAGCTGGGACTACAGGCACCCACCACCATGCCCGGCTCATTTTTGTATTTTCAGTAGAGACAGGGTTTCACCATGTTGGCCAGGCTGGTACTAAACTCCTGACCTCAGATGATCCGCCCACCTCGGCCTCCCAAAGTGCTGGGATTACAGGGGTAAGCCACTGCACCCGACTGTTTTTTTGGGTTTTTGTTTGTTTGTTTGTTTGTTTTTGAGACAAGGTCTTGCTCTGTTGCCCAGGCTGGAGTGCAGTGGAGCAGTCTTGGCTCACTGCACCCTCTGCCTCCTGGGTTCAACCGATTCTCCTGCCTCAACCTCCCAAGTAGCAGGGATTACGGGTGCCCGCCACCACACCCGGCTAATTTTTGTATTTTTAGTAGAAACAGGGTTTCACCATGTTGGCCAGGCTGATCTCAAACTCCTGACCTCAAGTGTTCTGCCCACCTTGGCCTCTCAAAGTGCTTGGATTACAGGCGTGAGCCACCACGCCCAGACAGGAGTGCAGCTTTTGATGTGATATTATAAGCTTAATATCTCCAATCAATTATTTTTCATGATGTCTCTTTAATTATAATGTACATTGTATTTAAAGAGTATAACTTTAAAATGACAATATTGTTTTTTCCCCAAAAAAATTCTTGCTAAATATTTAAACTCTGAAGTGTATTTAGTCTTTACCTTCTTTCTGGCTAAATCTATTTTCACACTCTCTAGGGGACTGCAAGAAAATATTGACTTGACTGAGTTTAAGGTAAGATTTTCATGTTATATATATTTTTACAATTATACTTGATTTGCCACAGCTTAGAGTTCATGTTTTGATTTGGTCATAATTTCTAGATCTGCTTCTACTGCTGATCAAATTATCTTCCTATATATCATTAACTTTCTATTCCTGCATAATGTTATTGGTAGAAGAAATGTGGGAGACCCTACATCTATACCTTACTCCTTTATTACTGGAGCTGATGACAGGATTTACCCATCTGTCTATTTCATTTTTGTTTTTTTATTTTTTATTTTTATTACTATTATTTTTTGAGATGGAGCCTCACTCTGTCGCCCAGGCTGGAGTGCGTAAGTGCAATCTCAGCTCACTGCAACCTCTGCTTCCTGGGTTCACAAGGTTGTCCTGCCTTGGCCCCCCAAGTAGCTGGGATTATAGGCGAGCGCCACCACGCCTGGCTAATTTTTATATTTTCAGTAGAGATGGGATTTTACCATGTTGGCCAGGATGGTCTCAATCTCCTCACCTGAAGTGATCCCCCCGCCTTGGCCACCCAAAGTGCTGGGACTACAGGCATGAACCACTGCGCCCGGCCCCTTAGCCAATTTTTAAATTTTTTGTAGAGATGGGGGTCTCACTGTGTTGCCCAGACTAGTCTTGAACTCCTGGCCTCATGGGATCCTCCTGCCTCAGCCTTCCAAAGGCTGGCTTGGGTTTACAGGAATGAGCCACCGTGCCTGGCCTGATATGTTTTTAGTGTATATGTTTCCATGGGTGAAGGTTTATGCTTTGTGTAAATGTTGGTAGTCTCTATAATATGTCTTAGTATTTTACATTTCTTTCTTTTTTTTTTTTTTTTAGACAAGGTCTCTCCTTCTGTCACCCAGGCAGGCTGGAATGCACTGGCACGATCACAGCTCACTGCAGCCTCGACCTCCTGGGCGCAAGTGATCCTCCCACCTCAACCTCCCCAGTAGCTGGGACTACAGGCATGTGCCACCACATGCCTGATTTTTAAAATATGTTTAAAATTTTTGCAGAGATGTGTTCTCCATGTGTTGCCCCAAGCCGATCTCAAAACCCCTGGCCTCAAGTGAGGCCACCTGACCTCCACACCTCATCCTCCCAAAGTGCTGAGATTACAGGGGTGAGCCACCATGCCCAGCTGTATTCAGTATTTTCTTTTCTTTTCTTTTCTTTTGGAGACGGAGTGTCACTCTGTCACCCAGGCTGGAGTGCAGTGGCACAATCTCAACTCACCGAAACCTCTGCCTCCTGGGCTTAAGCCATCCTGCCACCTCACCTTCCCAGTAGCTGGGACTACAGGTACACACCACCATGCACAGCACATTTTTTTTTTTTTTTGAGATGGAGTCTTGCTCTATCACTCAGGCTGGAGTGCAATGGCACAATCTCTGCTCACTGCAACCTCCGCCTCCTGGGTTCAAGCAATTGTCCTGCCTCACCCTCTCAAGTAGCTGGGGTTACAGGCATGCACCACCACACCTGGCTAATTTTCTTTGTATTTTTAGTAGAGACGGGGTTTCACCGTGTTGCCTAGGCTGGTTTCAAACTCCTGACCTCAAGTGATCCGCCCGCCTCGGCCTCCCAAAGTGCTGGGATTACAGGCATGAGCCACCACACCCAGCCAATTTTGTATTTTTTGTAAGAGATGTGGTGTCACTGTGTTGCCCAGGCTGGTCTCAAACTCACAAAGTGTTGGGATTACAGGCATGAACTGCCATGCCCACCACTGGCAGTATTTTATATTTCATTTTACTATTTACTACTCATGTAATATATCCTATAATGTATTTTATGCATTTTTCTTGTCAATGAATTTAGAAAAGTGAACAAATGGAATATGCAGTTCTGACTTGCCAGAACATAATAGAATCCTCAGTGACTTCCTTTTCCTGAAACCACATTGTGCCTCTTGATGGGACCATATTTCTTTCTTTTTTTTTTTGAGACAGAGTCTTACTCTGTCGTCCAGGCTGGAGTGCAGTGGTGCAATATCAACTCACTGCAACCTCCATCTCCTGGGTTCAAGCAATTCTCCTGCCTTAGCCTCCAGAGTAGCTGGGATTACAAGCACGTGCCACAACGCCCAGCTAATTTTTATATTTTTAGTAGAGACAGGGTTTTACCATGTCTTTTGGCCAGACTGGTCTCAAACTCTTGACCTTAGGTGATCCACCCACCTCAACTTCCCAAAGTGCTAAGATTACAGGCGTGAGCCACTGCATCCGGCCTCCATATGTATTTAAGTTGCTCCTTAATACACAGGCGTAGGCATATAATTGTGATGTTCTTGATAGGACAATGCCCATAATTTTCACAGCTGTCTCTTTGTTCTCTGGTATATTTCTTTTCTTTTATCTTCTTTTTTTCTTTCTTTTTTTTTTTTTTTTGTGTGTGTGTGTGTGTGCGCGTGTGACAGAGTTTCGCTCTTATTACCCAAGGTGGAGTACAGTGGTGCGATCTTGGCTCACTGCAACCTCTGCCTCCTGGATTCAAGCAATTCTCCTGCTTCAGCCTCCTGAGTAGGTGGAATTACAGGCACATACCACCACACCTGGCTAATTTTGTATTTTTAGTACAGATGGGGTTTCACCATGTTAGCCAGGCTGGTTTTGAACTCCTGATCTCAGGTGATCTACCCACCTTGGCCTCCCAAAGTGCTGGGATTACAGTCACTGCGCCTGGCCTCTTTTTTTTTTTTTTTTTTTTTGAGATGGAGTCTCATTTTGTCACTCAGGCTGGAGTGCAGTGGCGCGATCTCGGCTCACTGCAACCTCCACCTCCCAGGTTTAAGTGATTCTCCTGCCTCAGCCTCCCAAGTAGCTGGGGTTACAGGCGCCCCCCCACCACACCCGGGTAATTTTCATATTTTTAGTAGAGACACGGTTTCACTGTGTTGGCCAGGTGAGTCTCAAACTCCTGACCTCAAATGATCTGCCCTCCTCAGCCTCCCAAAGTGCTGGGATTACAGGCATGAGCCACCATACCTGGACTTTTCTGGTGTATTTCTGATTAAACCTGCCACCCACTGTCTAACATTTGATTTGATTGGATCTCCATATGACCATTATTGTCAACCACAAAACATATGCCAGGTTCTAACTTAACTTAAAGGGCCTCAAGATTTAAAACATAAGACTTGGAGCCTATCCTCAAGAAGCTTACAGTTTAATTGGAGAGAGAAACAAAAAACAAAAATAAATAAATAAATAAAAAACAGCACCGTGCATGTTAACCACAGAGACAGCAGCATGACAGAGCTGGCAGAAGGAAAAGTGAAAATGGTTCCGGCACAGCTTCAAGAGCAGCAGCAACACTGTTGGTCTTCCAGGGCTTCCCAGTGTGTGTACTCAGTGCTACACTAACTACTTCCATTTAGGGTCTTCAAGGTCCTCGTCTATTAAGGGGATAACTCTGAATCACAGAATCTTAGAGGTAGCATAGGGGGCAGAGGTCATTTAATCCTACTTGCTCAATTAAAAACTGGCAGTTTGAGGCCCAAAGATGTTAAGCAGCTTGGCCAAGGTCATGCAGCTAGTTTAGTGATGAAATTAGAACTATAAGCCATGTCTTCTGATAGCTGGTCCAGTGTACTTTCTGCTATTCCCCAAATTGATGGCATTTTCTAACCATCAGATCAAATGTTCATTTATTCCTTCCTTCCCTAGAAAGAGCACCTGCTTGTGCAGGGCACTGGGATTGCAAGGTGAGTGACATGAGGCCACATTGTCAGGGGGCAAGTCAGGTGAGCAAAGAAATTAGTCTCTACACTGAGACACTTTCAGAAAATGAAAGGGGCTAATAATAGCTATATGTGCATCTTGGGTGTGAACCAGCACTGAGTGCCGTGATAGACATCAGGTCTATACAGGATATAGACAAGTCTCCCATTCAGGGCAACATAGTGAAACCCCATCTTTACAACGAAAAACCAAAACAATTAGCTACTCAGAAGGCTGAGGAGGGCGGATTCCCTCAGCCCAGGAGTTGAAGACTGCAGTGAACTATGATTGTGCCACTGCGCTCCAGCCTGAGTTACAGAGCAAGACCCTGTTTAAAAAAAAAAAAAAAGGCAGGGCGCGGTGGCTCATGCCTGTAATCCCAGCACTTTGGGAGGCCGATGCGGGTGGATCACCTGAGGTCAGGAGTTCAAGACCAGCCTGGCCAACATAATTAAACCCTCTCTCTACTAAAAATACAAAAAATTAGCTGAGTGTGGTGGCAGATGCCTGTAATCCCAGCTACTTGGGAGGCTGAAGCAGGAGAATTGCTTGAACCCGGGCAGCAGAGGTTGCAGTGAGCTGAGATCGTGCCATTGCACTCCAGCCTGGTCAACCTACAAGAGCAAGACTCTGTCTCAAAAAAACAAAAAAAACAAAACAAAAAAAAAAACACAGTCTCTACAGGAATCTGTGAGGGCACAAAGGTGGGAGGGGCCACTTCTGCTGTGGGGAGGAGAATCAACTTGGGGAAAGCTTCATGGAGAAAGCAGCATTTGAACTGACTTAGAAATTACTGGTGGCCGGGCGCGGTGGCTCAAGCCTGTAATCCCAGCACTTTGGGAGGCCGAGACGGGCGGATCACGAGGTCAGGAGATCGAGACCATCCTGGCTAACTCAGTGAAACCCCATCTCTACTAAAAAAATACAAAAAACTAGCCGGGCGTAGTGGCGGGCACCTGTAGTCCCAGCTACTCGGGAGGCTGAGGCAGGAGAATGGCGTAAACCTGGGAGGCGGAGCTTGCAGTGAGCTGAGATCCGGCCACTGCACTCCACCCTGGGCGACAGAGCAAGACTCCGTCTCAAAAAAAAAAAAAAAAAAAAAAAAAGAAATTACTGGTTATGGGCTGGGCGCAGTGGCTCATGCCTGTAATCCCAAGCACTTTTGGAGGCTGAGACGGGTGGGTCACCTGAGGTCAGGAGTTTGAGACTGGGCTGGCCAACATGGTGAAACCCTGTCTCTACTAAAAGTACAAAAATTAGCTGGGTGTGGTGGCACACGCCTGTAATCCCAGGTACTCTGGAGGCTGAGGCAGGAAAATTCCTGGAACCCGGGAGGCGGGGGTTGCAGTGAGCTGAGATTGTACCATTGCACTACAGCCTGGGTAATAGAGCAAGACTCTGTCTCAGAAAAAAAAAAAAGAAAAACAAATTATTGGTTACAGGCCGTGTGCAGTGGCTCATGCCTGTAATGTCAGCACTTTGGGAGGCTGAGGAGGGTGGATCACTTGAGGCCAGGAGTTCGAGAACAGCCTGGCCAACATGGCAAACCCTACTAAAAATACAAAAATTAGCCAGGCATAGTGGTGGGCACCTGTAGTCCCACCTACTCAGGAGGCTGAGGCATGAGAATTGCTTGAACCCGGGAGGTGGAGGCTGTAGTGAGATCGTGCCACTGCACTCCAGCCTGGGCAACAGAGTGAGACTCCGTCTCAAAAAAAAAAAAAAAAAAAAGGGAAATTGGGACAGCTCTTCTCAGGAGGTGATACTGGAATTGAGAATGTACAGCAAAAAAGAACCTCCCAGGTAGAGGGTACAGCTTGAGCAAAGACCTTCCATGGGAACGGGAACGGGTGTTGGTGTACTCAAACAGCAGTGGCCGGAGCGTCTGGGGCAAAGTGGCCAAGGTGGAAAATGGTGTGAGATGAAGTCACAGAGTGGCTGGCCAAGTCACACAAGGCTTGTGGCAAGCCAGGAGTGTACTCTCAAGGCAGGAGCAACCCATGGTGATCATACAAGTAGGGAAACCTTAAGGTCAAGTTTATGTTTCAGAAAGAACTCTGATAAAAAAGCAGATGCTTTTGAGATAATTAAGGTGTCTTATCTTCCCCATGTGAGAAGGACATGGCCTGAGGCAGTATGGAGAGGAGAGCTGAGAGGTATAGGA